AGGTGCCAGCGTGCAGACGAAGGATACTTTCACTGCCTGCAACAGATGTTGTAACACTTTTTATCATTCCCCAGAAGCCGGTGGGTTTGTTATGCACTTCTCCTCTCTGGAACATTGTTCTGTGAGCCACTGCTATCCTAAAAGAACAGAAAACACACATCCTTAGGGATAAAGTATTTTTATTAAAAAATCAAAACAATCCCCCTCCCCAAGAAAAAAAACAAATACAGTTCCTTAGAAGACTGTTAAACTAAATTCACTGCAAACAGATGCCCCCTTTTTTTTTTCTCCTAAGCACCAATCTTGCTTCATAACATTATCTTGATTGGCTCTGGAGTAGAGCCCAGACCCAATCAAGCAAGATTCAACGAGACACCTCCCCAGACTTCCATTCAGGATCCTGCTCCAATCCTTAAAGGGATTTAAACCCAATTAAAAACAAAAATTCAAATGGATTTCTCAGTCATATGATTAGTCGCCTTCCTTTCCTCAAACACATGACTGTGCTATCTCAAGTTCAGGAATCAGAAGACTTCTCACGCTCCTCTCTCCCCTTGAACACCTCTTTATCACTGCACATCCGCCTCCTCCACAGAGCTGTGAGCACTGGGTGGTATGCAGCAGCACTCTCTGATATGCTGTCACTCACTACTGGGCTGCATGACAAGCTGTTATGAAGCAGAAGCACATAAATCCATCATTGGACTGAACCACTGGACGCTTCAGGCAATCTGAACGTGACTCCTAAAGCCAATTCCAACACTACAGCAGTAGCTGCACATTGTCCCTCACACTCCCATGTGCACTGCAGCATAATCCCCACGAGCAGGGCTGGCTTCTGGCCTCATTCCCTCACATTTCTCCCCATTGAAATTTGTGAGCCAGTTATCCACTCCTAAGCTGAAAACTATTCATAGGATTGTCAAGGTGATCCATGATTCAACAGTGTTCAGGCCCTTTCTTCTAACTGCAGCCAGTATTGCTACATTTGGCACTGAGCCCTCGTCAACATTGTTGATAAGCAGTGTAATAATAAAAAAAAAAAATCACTCCTTCACATCCAGCAAAAGAAACACCCTTGGGGCATCCCACATCACACACATAAAAGCATGTATGGCCACAGACTACAAATAACAGAAATCTTAGAACGATTCCGTTCATCCCAATAGCTGCCAAATATGAGAATTGCATTTTTAACCCTTGCTTTCTCCCCAGTACTCGATTCACACGTTCCGTCCCAAACGATCCACAGCATTGCAGCAAAAATGCTGTGGTGAAATGCAAGGCTCCAAGTATACAAAGGTAAATCTTTTCTTTTGAGAGGTGACAGAGATCTCTGTACCCACACAGTAGTCAGTTACAAGTCCCAGACATCCCCAACATCACTCTCCTTGGACCAGAGGTCCGAGAACATTGGACAAAACAAAAGAGCACAGAGTCAGAAGCGGCACTACACAGCATCTTTTAACTCCAAAGTCAGTATTTTAGGATAATCCTAGTTAATTAAATCTATTAAACCCAAGTAATCAAATTCTCTCACTGCTTACTGTCTCACACATGACTACAAATACTGAGTTAACATTTGTTCGCCACTTAACGTTTTCACAGGGGAAGAAAAAAGTTAAGCTTTAACTACACTTTCATATGCTAATACTGATCAGCAGACACACAGGCTGGTGACTAATTCAGCAAGGTTAGGCTACCTAAAAGCTCCCTTGTCATACATTAAAAAGTTCCATTAAAACATTAGTTTGCTAAAAGTAAAGTCTGGGGGACTGCTGTGAGAATTCAGTGTCAGACAGTCAAACCTTTGAAGTGACTATGGTAATTGTACTTATTCTGCACAATTAGTAAGGCATGCAATATGGAATTTGTAACAGCAGACAAAAATCTTCTCAGAGTAAATGAAATTACACTGTTTCCAAAAGCAGCTTTTTTTGCTTGGGGTACATGGAATCAGCTAAACCAAGAAAAGCAGAGTTCTGATGGCAGGCTTGTGCCCTGCACTACGTTCACATCAGCAATGTTTTGCAATTCTGCAAAACTTAACTAACGCAAACCTTGCCACTTCCAACAAGATAGCTGTGTCCACATCAGCTCACTAGCCTGCTTCAGCTTTGACCAGGAAACACCAGATCCACAGAGCAGGACAGCACTTCACACGTATGAATCAGTTTCTGTACTGAAACTGCCAGTAAGAGAGACAGCTGCAGTGGCTTACGTGTCACTTACTCATCAGGGGAGAAAGGTGCCCATCTTACAGTCTAGTCAAGCTGCCATCAGAGTTAAAATATGTCTTGGAAGGCTAATTTGTGCCACTGCAGTAAGAAAGGGTAGTATTTAGTGCACATGCCCGGGAAAAAAACACAAAGTTGTGTGTCAGGCTGGAATGAAACACCACCCAGCTCAAGCTAATTCAGCGACCTGTTTCACTAGAACACGTAGCCCTGACAGGACTAAACATTTTCGTAATTTCAAGAACCATCTTACACCATATTGACTGAAAATCCGTGAAAGAAATCATTTATGCTACTGCTCCCTTCTCACCTTTTTTTTTTGCTAACAATCATGTCCATAGTCTGAAGGAGTCGTCGCTCCAAAGCCAGAATATCTGCATCTGTCACATTCCTGCAAAACGAAGACGCCCAATTAGGCCTGCTACCCCATTTCAGAGGAAATACACACACGCCCATGAAACAAAGAAGAGAGAAACCTGTATAAGGAGAATATGCTTCAGCAATAGAAATGGTTCTAGTATGTAGACATGGCAATAGCCAGAGTCAGAAAAAAGTTATGAAAAAACTTGAATCAATGCCACAGGAAAAGCAGAAGAATAATCTCAAAAAGGTGGACAAAATATTTCACAAGGCAGCAGTTACCTGAGAAAGTAGGACATATAAGTGTATGGACAGTTGACAGCCCCAAATCCTGACAGCAAAGCCATGAGTGTCACCCCAATCACACCCACGCGGCTGATGAGCTGCTCTATAGACAGGATTCCTGAGAGAGGGAAAACTCGGCATTAGTAACCTTGCTCCCTTCACTCTGCTCCACACTTGGTGCCTTCACAACACAACACACATACAGAGCTGCTTAATGAATCCCACTGCCTTCCCACTGCAATGACCAGAGGTAACATGAAGTACCGACAGGGACTATGAAAAGAAAGAGGTAGAAAGCCTCCCTCAAATGTTTGTTACCATGCTTAGAAACAGGGATGGGAAATTTTAATTATGAAGAAGCTTAGGAAAGATCTAGAGAGGACTAACAGTCAACATTTTGGTTCTAAATTAATGAAACATTAGTGATTCCACTTTGCTGAGGTGGGAACACAGATCATTCACCAGACACTATAAAGGAGGCATCTTCCGCAAAGCCACTTCCGCAATAACCAGGATTAGAGTTACTAAACCAGTTAGTTCTGGCAAACCAGCCCCAAAATGTCTGAACCATAGAGAGTCATTTGTCATTAGAAGTGACTCCTCCAGATCAGACACAATGTGTGCTTGTAGGATAGCAGAGTTAGGACAGCATGGGAAGCTTATGCTGCTCCTGACTGTTCAGTATTCATCCTGTGGACATACACACGTTGTTGAGGTGATCACCAACAAGGCATTCCACCTGAGCACCAAATGGACTCTGAAGCATATACTCACATAATACAGCATGAATATCAAGCCTGTGCTGTAACCAACACCAAACACTGAAGTTTATTCTTCTCAGCTATTAAACACAGACCTCAACCTGTCTTCTCAGGATACAGTGCCATGTGCTACTAAACATCACTCGCTTTTCACCGAGCCAGTTATAGAGCAGCTGCCACACACAGCACATTTGGAGCTTACATGATTGCAAAGCTGAGATGGCCAAGCGCCAAGCCACATTTCATGCTTCAGAGGAGGGGAATAAATGATGAAAGCGAGGCAAAAAGACTTCACAAAGGGAGACCGAGACACCCAGTCATGTGCAGCTGCATAGAGATTTACACGAGCTACAGAATGTGCTACAATACACTGGCCTTTTGCCCCACACACTGTCAGACAGCAGCAGTTAAAACAGAGGTGCCTTCAAAATGACATGACATTCCACTGGTTAAAGCAGTGCTTCCCCATAACACTCACAGCAACCCTACTCTTGTGACCAGGTCAGATAAAATGAATGTTTTATCAACTCAGATGAAGATAAGAGTCTTATCAGAATACCAGTATGTAACTGAGTAAAGCATAACCTTCCTTCTACTACGAGCTACCAAACTCAGGTCTATTAAACAAGCTGCAGACCAACCAGGGCTCCTGACTCAGAGCCCTTGATTAATTGTGCATTTCCCAGCTGCAGCACACTGCCATTACCATTCCCAGGCAAGGCAACCCCTGACACAGGATGCCAGTGCAGGTACTTGATGGGGCCTCACTTGTCAGCACAATTCCTCAGCTGCAGCACACCACCATACACACAAGTGAGCAGAGTGGGACACACCAAGAAAAGACACTACAGGTAACGTTCTGCAGGGTGAGGGGCTCACTAAGTACAGCCTCTCGTCACGTCTCCTTCCACTATAGGATCCCACCTGTCTGAACTGGGCCACCGCCACATGATAAAGCCCTGCAGCAGCCTTGTCTATACATGCAGAACAGCAGCACTCCAGCAGAACAGCAGGGAAAAAAAAACCCAAACTTAGAACCCTTCACTCTAACCTTATGTCTATATCTGGTAGGATAGAGCACTGTTCACCTGTTAAGTGGAGGTATCATCCTGTAAAGGAGAAGTTAAAACTAGAAAACAGCCCACTACCAGTTCTGGAGATCTCCAGTTGGCACACAGCTTCACTGAACCTTTTCAGTGATCTGAAGAGGATTACCTAAACCCCATGGCTAAGTTCCCATCGGGTTATTATATTCTGCTAACTCAAGCGTCTTCTGCAGCTCCCAAGTGGATACATGTTTTTCTTAGCAATGAAACTCTGGGCAGAGGGATGTGCACTACACACTAGCTGTTGCATTTCAGTGGCAAATGACACAATTACAAAACACATATACACACTCTTAGGAAAGTTTTAGGATCACAGATGAAAGGGTAAGCAGACCCTACAGCAGTTGGTATCCTTCAATTTTTCTCTTACAGATTAGGACAGAGTAAAGCAGCTTCCTAGAGAACAGAAAGATTAAGCTGACTGTTATTCATGCAGACAGACACATTCACCAGTTTGAACGAATTTCACCCATTGAGAACAATATACAAACAATTTTGCAGATAAGGGCAACATAAATTACACAGGAAACCCACGTGGCAAGTAGTCTGGTTCCACAGTGTTATAATCCTTCGGCACACTTAGGTGCCCAAAGGATTCAGTACAGCTAGGCACACGCTGACGACCTGTTGGACCCAAACTAGCCCAAGTGCAAACAGTATCTTCACACTATAAATACTCTTGGTTCCACGACTGCAACTCGGAGATATCCAAGCTAATTCTGCACATAAACAGCTCCAGCATCCAGCAGGACTTACCAACTCACATCCTAGTACCATGCAACTGTGCTGCCTCTGGGCTCAGGTGCAGTACGAAACTGTACTGAAGTTGGCGCACACTGCCAGACGTGTGGCCAGCTACAGTCTCTATAGCTCTGCTGTTTAGGCACCCTGCCTTGTTTTGTCAACTGGACAGCCACCTATGCTCAACTGATCTGATTTTGGTCACAAGAAACAATAATCTGACTGAAAATAGTCAGATGAAGGATTGGCTGTTGATTCTTTTCTTAAATAAATTAGCTTTAGTCTCCACAAGAAAAAGAACCAGCAAATAAAAATACTGATCAACTTTTTGGGGAGATAAAGTTTTTGTGTCTTCAAAAAGTACACTAGGTTCTTACATAGGCTAGGTTCAGTTAGGACTCATTCATTTCCCTAAAGTTTTCCTGTGGTACTGGAAGAAAGCTAATGAAAATAATTCAGATATATCCACCCATTTCTGTCAGTCTGACAACCCTCAAATTGCAGATTTCAAAGCTGAGCAGACCCTCAGTCGCAAGAACTACTTTCTACAGTCCTCACTGTAGAGCTGAGATAACACAGTAATAGCTCCAAGATAAAAGTGAGATAACAAAGCCTATTTTCAAAGCAAGAATATGAAACTCACCATGTTTTGGGCTGAGGATAGGAAATGGGTCCCCCAACTTCCAGAAGAAATACATGAATGTCAACCACAGAACACACGCAAAAAGCAGTTTCTGTCTGTGCACTAACAGAGAGGAAAGAAACAGTATTTTAAAGACCTTCTTCCTTTAGGGCTTTTCCCAGCTTGCAAAATTGTTACATTGGTCCAAAGACTGCTTTGAGCACAGGTGGCCAAAACAGGTGCCAACTGCCAGCGCAACAGCTAGCAGTATGCACCCCCTCACTTCCTACAGAACTGGCTGTTTGAGAGACCACCATCTGCACAGGCGAATGCAGCAACGCACCGCTTCGGCTTTTCCCCACGGATGCATGAAGAGGGCTGCACTGTGAACAGGGGATCCCTTAGCTGTGTCTTTTGGTGTGACCCTGAACATGAAACTTGAAAACTTTATCTTTGTGCCAAAACTGCACAATTAACAATCCCAACCTACATGCCTAAGCTCAACACAAAAGAGCAATGAATATCAATAGCTCAAGGGTAAGTGTCCATTAGTGCGTGGAAGAGGCCTCATCCAGAGAGTAGAAAGCAAAATAAAGCAAAAATAATTTATTGAGCTTTCTGCCTGAAGAGTGATTTATCGAGCTTATCTGACTCATTTCTTTTACCTGCTAGCAGAAGACAAAGCCTTGCCAAGGGTTCCAGGGTTTGGCTGCAAGCTTAAAATTGTAAAGGAACAAATTCCAGTAACATTACTCTAAAGTGCTCAACTTCACTGAAATCCATAAAGAAAAGCTACATTTGTTGGAGTCATGTAAAGTATCTCCTAACTGCTCAATAAACAGTTCATGCTAAAGCATAAAGTTCCAAAGAGAAGTTATCCAGCCAGAACAAAGCCAGAGGAAGGATAAAGCTATAGGGATAGTGACCACCACATCTCTCTCTCTCTCAGAAAAGTTATTTCTCATTCGTATGTGTAGTCTGAAATCAGCAGCCCCACTGCCATAAACCAAGTACTCACATAATCTGATATTGCTCACAACGAAGTAACCAATGTAGAAGGGTACCATGAAGACAAGGATGAGCAAAATGACACACAGGTTCAGCTTCCAGTGAAAATATCGAGAGCTAAAATAAAGTCAAAACACTGATTAGCACACTATCATAATACAACAAATTTCTCAAAGAAATCACATTTCAATGCAATCCTCTCAATTGCCTCGAGCATTGGATAATATTGACCTGGCATATAGAATATTCTGAATTTTGTTTGTTGTTTGGGTTGGAGTGGGGTGGGTGTTTGTTTTGGTTTTTTTTGGTTTTTAATACAGAGCTCAAGAATGTGTATTTCAAAATTAACTATCCAGAAAAACACACTGGGCTATTTTATCAAATACTGTACTTTCTACAGTGACTAATGCTGGATGCAGCATGATTCATTTGCTTTACTGCTCATCTAGTTGAACAGTAAATCAAAAGTAAGTATAAGCAGTAATTAATTTTTTAATGAGTGGCTGAGTCAAAAAAGGGCTAACAAATTTAAAAGATTAAAATATTTAATGTTCATAATTCAACGTTTCACTTCAAAGTGAGTTGTGTCATCTGCAAGACATTGCAAAGCAAGAATTCAAAAATACATATATATCATCATGATCAATACTTCTCTGAACAAAGGAGAGTATTGAAGTGCAGATAAGATTCATCTTGGCTGAACTGACTTTTCACTTAGCTTGAATGGAAAAAATACATGTCCTGTTCCCAGTCTTAACTCCTATTCTCTTTATGCATCAGGGAAGGAGAAATTATGAGGACTCTTGTCACTTTTTTCTAGCTAATTCAGAAGCAAACATTTTCATCTATATTGATGTCCAGCCCTTTTTTTGAAGCTTATAAAAGCATTCCCCTCAGTGATCCCTCTGGCTGCAAGCTCTACAGATTAATAATGTACACTCAGAACTAACATTACCTTTTATCAGTTTTGTACTTCTTGGCTTTCAACTCCTTAGACTGCTCTCTTATACCAGCATGGTAGGGCAGAATAAATGGGAAGCCCAGCTAGCCTCTACATGTTACTGTTCTATCTTCTCTTTCCTACTGACTTCTGAAGCAGACAGTTTTTAACATCCTCTTTATGAAGAAGTCCTCACCCTGTGTCAAGGGAGGATGTGCCTTTGATTCACAAATACCATATTATTACTGAACTAGTTTTTACTCCACAATTAGCTTCACATCTTATTCCCTGCTCTGACCACCACAGAAAGACTAGTGCTTATAGTTTCTACAGTTCTTAACATCTGAAAAGTGCTCTTCAGCATGATCTGAAGCCTTACAATACTCCCATAAAAGAAATCATTTCTTTTAACTTCACAAATGGAGAAAGTCAAAGACTGAAGCCTTGCCCTAAGGACCTGGACCACACTAATAGCAAATGCATGGAAAATCGGGAACTTAAGGCTTCTAGTCTCATGTTCTGTCAAATAAACAAATGTTGCTGCTCAAATATCTTCATTGAGTTGTTGGCAACTTTCTCACATAATTTCCCCAATCTAAGACTAATCCATTAATTTAGAAGTTGGACTAAAGATGCTGCAGAGTACAAGGAAGGCTAGCTCTTGAGTGAGCTCCCCGACTCACCTGCTGTTCAGTACTCCCAAAATCTCAAAGATGATGAGTTCAAACATGGTACAAGAGAAGGCAAAAGTCACAGAGAAGATCACCTGGACCACATATTGTCGCACCTGTGAAGGAGAAAACAAGCCAGAGACATCAGGCATTTCCATTCCTAGAACAGCATCCTGATATCACTCAGGTAACAAAAACAAATCACAAGGTACAATGGCACACAACTGGGTCTCTTGCTTCAAGGCACTTTGCCCTTTGTCTAAATTGGAAGAAACCACCAGCCTGCTAGAAACCAGAGAGCAAACTCACAAGTTGCTCAGTATTACACTGATTGCAGCTATTGGCACGTTTGAGAGAGATGCATTACACAGAAGGGATGTGAAGCGTGCCATGCTCTGTGTCAACTTGACAAACAACAGACCCTTGCCAACAGAGCTCTCTGATCTTAACTTCAGACTTAAAAATAAGATCCACATCAGAAAAACTTCTGGGGTCTGAATTTGGCTCACACTTAAGCCATCTCAGACCAAGGCTGTATTTCCTCATACTCCTCTAGGGATAAGAGGACGCATCAGTTTTATTCCATCCCATCCTCACAAACAATTCAGCCACAATGAACAAACCACACTGAGTTTAAAGATAACCTCTGAATCTGATTTTGTCTCAAAAATTTTACAATCAACGTAAGGCAGGCTTACTCAAGCAAAAGACAAAACAGTTTCTTGTAACCCCTGCACCTCCTTTTTTTCTTTTTAACAGTAGCTAATATGGAAACTTCCACTGGCCCCAGAAAAAAAACATTTCCTCAGACATCTAGGAGTCGTTCAAATAGAAACACAAGAGGAAATTAAAAAGAAAGTAACTGTAGAAACAATTAAAAATAAAATAAGAGGGCTTAAAGAGAGGAAAAAGGCCAACTGCAGTTTTAAAAATGTTTCTATAATCAGGAGTAATTTTTAAGGTATAGACTTGTAACAAAAGGTTCTCACCTCATAATCCTTGAAGAGCTTACGCATGAAGAATAGCCACCCAAATCCAAAGAACAGCACCTGCAGAAGAGATGAAGCACTTAACATTTGTATCCAGCACCTTGCAAAATACAAAGCTACTTTACTACTGATTGTAGATGAAACAAGTGGAAGAAAAAGAGCCGTGCCAAAGTACCCCAAATCCACAAAAGATTAAAATTTGCCACAGTACCATGGAGAGAAGAATATTTTAAATATTCAAGTGTAGCAGCCACAGGCGGCTAAAACCTTGCGGAAGATCCAGTCAAGACAGCCCAGCTCTGTATTCCCAAGTTCTCAGAATTCCTCAGCTCCTGGCCTGCCAGAATCCTTTGCACTGTTGTTTCTTGTTTCACTCTTCTAATCTATAGAACTACAGCTTATAGCTTTTACAGGAAGCACAGAAATGGTGGCAAAGTAAACACTTCAACGTCCACAATGCACACATCTTCTAGGGATGAGCAAATTTTATAAAAATATCTGCTGTTTCTTCAAGACTAGAAGCACACTTCATCTTTCTGGAGAGATCTTTACACTGAATCTGGTTACACACTGACACAATGCAGGTGAAAGGTGTTAAGAGCACCTCTCAAGTAGGGATAAGGCAGTACTGAATGCCACAAACCACCATCCGGAGTTGCAGAAAGCCACATGGACAAGGCAGGAAAAAAAAAGCCAATAATGCTTTGCATTTCAACAGCTCTCAGAGCACTTTACAAAATGTAGTTTGGTTTCAATATACACCTGAAGAGACAAACTCAATATCACAGCTATTTTGCAGATGACTTAAATGAAATGAATATAAATTAAGCAACGTCATCAAAACTGTAATCACCCATCTTCAGAGAGTAAAAGGAGACTGTGTTGTCAGGCCTTCCACAGGTAGCCCGATCTATTTCTCAGAAGACTTAAAACGAGTGTAATGATTTAAAAGAACCCAAGCAAAAAGAGAATTCAGAAGATATTAAATATATCTTATAAAGGTAGCTTTGACCAAAGCAAAGAGAAAAAAGTGTTTATCAGAAAGCACGGCATGAAGATAGCATTTCTTTTCAGAGCACATGGAAAAGGCCAGAGCATTCTGTCCCTCTGTGGAAACAGGAAACTTTCAAAGACAAAAATGCAGGAATCATTGTAGATGATTCTACTGTGCATCAGGAGTAACTGGATCCCAGAAGTGGCAAAGGTAACAGACTAACATAATTTACAGACAAGGAACACTTGGAACACTGGGCAAGGAAGATCAAACATATTTGCCTTGAAAGAAACGAAACAGGAATGAGGTCTAGTGATTGGTAACAGCTGGCAAAATTTGTTTGAGGAGGACTTCAGACTTTATAGTAATAGATAGCAAAAAGAAAAAGGTAAGATATTCTACAAGCCTCCTATGTACAGGTCATAAATTGAAGAAGTACCATAAGCAAGTGATATTTACATAAAGTAATTTCACATGTAACAGCAAGAAGAAGGAAAAAGGTAGAGACAAACTTTTCAAAAAGAAGCAAATAAAGTAAAAGAAAGAGGAGGAGATAATTAAGTATATTAATAACAGAGGAAATTATATATGAAGATTAGATTTCCCTTGTGTTAGGGACTGCACAAAAGCACTGAAAGACATTATCTTAACAGTTCACACTCTTAAGACAATGCAGGTGAATGTTAAGTCAGAAAATCCTCGAGCATTTGATAATTACATGCGGCAATTTAATATCGAACTTGATACTTTTGAAGATGATGAGAAGGTGCAAAGCTACCATCACAAATGAAAGAAAAGCAAATTGGACAATTTAGATCTTAGAATGTAAAGCAAATAATGGGAAAGTTTTTGTTCTGCATGAATTGTTAACAGTATTAAAGCTACACTCAATCCACTGACAGTGAAAAAGCATGTTAGGAGCAAAATTCAAAGCATTATGAAGCAGGAGGACACTGTACTTCTAAGAAATAGCCAAAAGCTATCCTGAAAACTGTCAGCAAAATGACAGAGTTGAGCATTAAAGTCTATATAAGACAATCAACTGCTGTTGAGAGGAAAAAGGTTCTCTTTCCTCAGCTCATCCCTCCTCACTACAGAACAAGAATTTCACACCAGCTCAGAAGCTTAACTAGATCACAGAGGGATCTGATAAACTCATTTAACCAAATACTGGAGAAATAATAAGAGAGTACGACTGTGCAGCGAAGTGGAAGTGAAGAGGGAGCAGAACCTTCCCCTTCTGGCAGAAGCAAACAGCTGGACCACCTCAATTGCCAGAGAGGCAGACAGGAAGAAAGGGTATTCAGATGCTTACTGAGGAAGGAGCAGGGTAGCAAGCAGGAGAGGAAAGTCAAAGAGAACACAATGACGAGATAAATTACTAGCAAAGGAGGATAATGAAGGAGGAGGCAGTATTTCCTCCCATAAAACAGTACAATTTCAAGTATGTTAAGACCACAACCCACTTCATAATGATAAAAATGACATGAAAGGGTTTAAAGGGCTCCCAGGTGAATTCTGCTGCTGTAAAACAAAGACTAATTAACAGATGACTTTGATGGCAACAGAAGGAAAAAGCTGAAGGAAGTGTTGAATCACAGATGGACCAATGGAGAAAGAGGCATTTAAGATAAAATAGTGGTGTCTTTTTAAATTCTTTAAAGCAGATCATGAAAAAAAATCCTCCAAAGACGAAAACAAGCAAACTCCTCAGCGGCAAACCAGGGGTTGAAGACTCACACAGAATAGCATAGAATAGAACTATTTCAGTTCCGAGGGACCTACAACGATCACCTCGTCCAACTGCCTAATGATTAGTGTTCTCGAGGAATACGAGAAACAAAGTAAATACTACATAGAGAATAGCAAGACGAACTTCCCTGACTGTTCCAAGAAAACTCCAATTTATAGAAACGATGTACTATTACAAGAAAAGCTCCATTCGCCACAACCTTATTCGCTGAACCTTTTTATG